TGAAAAGAAAACTAATCTAAATAACTGGACCCAAAAGGACTGTATTAACTCCCTCGGTACACTGACAAAATAGGATAAATAATTATTAAAATCCTCCTCTTCAGACTATTGTTATATAAATAGCAGAAGAACCATTACAGAAATATTCTGATAATAAGCCGCCACAGAGTTATGATCAGACAGTTGCCAGTTACATATCCCTGCTAGAAAAACTACAACTAAAAAATTCAGTTAGCTATCATGAGCAGAACACTTCTGAAGTAAGTCTTCTGCTGCAAAGAATGTCTACAGCCTTAGCCTGCATGGACACGGGCTATTGTTGATATTGGGAACCATCCAAACTTTTTAAGGGATTTTCTGATTTACCTGAAAAGAGATTGTCTGACTTACATTACAGACTTGCTTACCCATCTGTATGTATGAGGCATAAAAGGGAATGGCTGACTTGTTCAGATCATTAGCTCAAACGCGGGGCTACTCATTTCTCTGCCTAGTTAAAAACCATGGTCAAGGAAAAACAAGGGGACAGAGAATCTGATTGTTGAGAAAGAGAGAGGTGGGGCTGGAGAGCAGAGAGAAATAGATCAAGAGCTCCCTGCGATACAGAAAATGGAACACTTTTACATTGGGTATTTAAGCCAGATGTTTCTCTATAGTGGAGGGGCCAGAATCTATTCAGGACAAACATACCGAATCTTCACTGAGTGGAAAATATAAGAAATCCTCCCACTACAGTTCTAGGTTGGGGAAATCAAATTCCTAGGTTGCGAGAGTGCTCTTACTAAAACATGAAAATGGAGAGAGCTCTCATGCAATTGAAATTGTTCTCAAGACCTCATCTGGACCGACAGCTCCACTCCTCCCCGAAGCCTCCTTTGATTGAACATTATTCATCATGTCCCGGGCGCTTGCGTATTCTATCATACTTTGCCTTGCTGCTGTTCTCCAATGGTTAATCTTCCTACCTAGACTATCAGCTTCTCAAGAGCATGAAAATTTGTTTTCATTCAACCACCCACTGGTGGCTGCCCAAGCCTTGCCTTACAAGTTCTTAGCAAAGTGCCATTCTCTACAGGGAGAGGGGGACTGGGTGTAAGCTTACGGTTAGAAATATTTAGGAGAAATCTAACCAGAATTATCTAGGGCCTGAGTTATCTGGGGGTTGATTTCTTATGACTGTTGGATCATTTTACGGCAGATCAGTTTCTCCACCTATTGGACATACAGAATTAAACTTACTCAAGCACACTACTAAATATACATTTGTCATATTAACCAATTTCTCTAGATGAAAGCCAAGAAAGGCAGTTGTTCAGATGGCTCAGGGAGAGGGCAAACAATTATCTCATGTTACCTGAATTTCTTACAGAGTAAAACAGGGCTTATAATAGAGATTTCAGGTTTAAGGGTCATATTATAATGTCCTAATGCACCCTTTGGAAGTAGATATGCCATGGTCTTGTAGAAAAATGATCAGGGAAAGCCATTTCACCTTCAACATGGTACTATTCCACTACTCTATAATAATTACAGTTTACACAGCACTTTCACTCTGTAACTCAGAAATGTGAAACGAAATGCTCCTAGCAACAAGCCCAGAGCTGAAGTCAAGCTTGAGCCTCACTCTCCAGGCTCCAAGTTCAGCGCTCTTCCCACCTTCTCTTTGTATTTTGTTATTCACGTTATCTATGGCTGGCTGGATGGATGGACTAATTGATTGCTGAAAAGCTTAAGTGTAACTATTGAATTGTATGATCCTGGGAAATTTCAGAAGTTGGGCATTGTAAGTACCTGGAGGACAGGAACAACATCTATTTTTTTTTTAAGATTTTTTATTTATTTATGGTCGGGGGAGCAGGGGGAGGAGCAGAGGGAGAGGGACAAGCAGACCCCACAATGAGCATGGAGCGCAATGCCGGGCTCCAGCCCAGGACCCTGAGATCATGACCGAAGCAGAAACCAAGAGTCAGATGCTTAACCCACTGAGTCACCCAGGCGCCCCATGACAACATCTATTTAATGCATTTATTTCATGCTGCTTGGGTTCAGGACCACACAATTGCAACTTGGTTAACAGCATATTTCATGCTGATGTCAACATTCACAACTGAAAAATATTCAAATACCTTTGCCTTGTGGCTTATTTTTCCTCATTTTACATATTTCCTTTCTGAAACTAAAGTCCTACCACGAGCTGACAGAAAAATTTCCAAATAACAATGACCGCATCCCAAAGCTAGCCAGCTGGACTCTCTAGTAGGACGTGTTTGGGGAATGACCTCTCAAAGACCAGAGCAGATCCTTTGACGAGGTGATGTGATAAGTCCCCCACTCATCACGTTTCCTCCTTAATGTTTTACAGTCTGCACTCTCTATCTGCCATTTCCCTGAACAAAACACAATTTTTAGGCAAGAGCAAGCTAGAGGAGACAACAACACGCTCTTCTGTGAACTGTCCTTCATAAACAGGCTGCCCAACAAGAAGGCGTGCACTTGGAGTGGTTTTTTCAATGCAACTGTATAGGGTATAAGGGATGTGCATTTTGAGAAAAAAAAAAGATGTCAACCAAATATCTGTAAGGAGAATCCGATTTTCCCATTTTCTTTTTCTTTTTTTTTTTAATATTGTATTTATTTATTTGACAGAGAGAGATCACAAGTAGGCAGAGAGACAGGCAGAGAGAGAGAGAGAGAGAGAGAGAGGAGGAAGCAGGCTCCCTGCTGAGCAGAGAGTCCCATGTGGGGCTGGATCCCAGGACCGAAGGCAGAGGCTTTAACCCACTGAGCCACCCAGGCGCCCCTGATTTTCTCATTTTCCGACATTACCATTTCCAAATTACCTTATCATCACTGATTTAGCAACAGTGCCCCTCCCTCCTATCCCCAGATCTGACAAGCAGTTCATTAATAAATAAAAATGTAAATGAACTAACCTAGCTCCACTTGAAAGGAAATGTTACAAATCCTTCCCATGATTTTTTTTTAAATATGGATAACTGTTCTTAGCCTTTTTTTATAAAAAGATTTTTATTTATTTATTTGACAGAGATCACAAGTAGACAGAGAGGCAGGCAGCGGGGGGGAAGCAGGCTCCCTGCTGAGCAGAGAGCGTGATGTGGGGCTCCATCCCAGGACCCTGAATCATAACCTGAGCCAAAAACAGAGGCTTTAACCCACTGAGCCACACAGGCACCCCTGTTCTTAGCCTTTTTAAAGAGAGGGTGCCCATTGCAGTGGATGGTGTAGGACCCCAGTGTCTGTTAGATTGAGAGACATGAGGTCTGGTGTAGGTTTCCATGCAGAGCTTTCTGGCTGCTCTCAGAATCTCATTTGCCCTTGTTGGCATAAGACACCAACCACGATAACCATCATATCTCACTGTTATGTGAACGGAAAAGATTTCTTCTCTGGTGGCTCCCTGCATATACCAACGAGGAGAATTTCATTCAAGATGGTAAAGATTAGGGGCGCCTGGGTGGCTCAGTGGGTTAAAGCCTCTGCCTTCGGCTCAGGTCATGATCTCAGGGTCTTGGGATGGAGCCCCGCATCGGGCTCTCTGCTCAGCTAGGAGCCTGCTTCCTCCCCCTCTCTCTGCCTGCCTCTCTGCCTACTTGTGAGCTCTGTCTGTCAAATAAATAAATAAAATCTTTTTTAAAAAAAGATAATAAAGATTATCTGTAAGAGATCAACTTTTTGGTGAATCCTCACCTGGGTTCATTCACAGCTCTAGGACCGGAACCCCACATATTTTAGTGTCTTCTCAGGAAAAGCAAAATATTCTATGTGTGGTTACAGACAAAGAGGAAAAAGAAAGTTGGCAGATTCACAGACCACAGAGCAGATTTCCACATCTGACCCCACTAAGTAAACGTCTAAATAAACTTTAAAATAAATAAACGAATAAGGCTTGAATTTTAAACTCCATCTTCCACAGATGTCTGGGTTAAGGGAAGTGACATGGCCAAGGTCACGAAGACTGAGAGGGCACCCATGCCAGTCTGCTAGGAAACTGCAGCAGGAGACTGCTGTTTGCGTCTGCTGGGGTTTGGGAGGTGGGGGTGGGAATAGGACGCGGCATCTGATTGATCTCAGTTGGAGGAGATGGGAGTTCTTTACCCGAAAGGATACTAACAGAGGCCAGCAGATATTACTCAAAACAGATCCTGATTCTTAAATCAGGAGACACGAGCTGGGTTAAGAGAGAAGGCTGAGTTTTGGAATAAGTCACTTGACACAAAGCCTGGCCGACTGGGGGATAGGAGATCTCGCCCGCCAATCAACAAAATGAAGTGGTGGAAAAGAAGTTCCAGTCTATTTTTCTAATGAAAAACACGTGAACAGATCACTGCTGATATTAAAACTCTGTCACACTTATCTAAAACATCCTTAATACTGCAGCTTCTCAGAGGAATCCTCCTACACGCAGCCCAGCCGCTCTCAGGCACCAGGACAGACTCAGATGAATTTGGAGCCTGGCTCGCAGTTCCTCCCAACCCCACTGGCACCACCACCACCACCACCACCACCACCACCACCAAAAAAGTCCTGAATTGCTCTGCCGCACTCTCCTGTTGCAGCGTCAGGGCTCCGAGGGGCTGGCGCCGTGGTCTGCGGGGCGAGAGTGGGAGAGGAGGGAGCGGATGCGGGCCACTACGGGGAATCCTCTCCCCCACCCCGCCCCCGTGAGGGCACCGGGCGCCCCGCTGCAGGGGAGCCCCGCTGTGCGTCCTCCCCGCGCACCCTCCGCAGGATCGCCCTGCAGGCTCCCCTCGTCCAGGCGTGACCGCCCCCGCGCGGGGGAAATGGCCCGCTGCGGGTCGTTCCAAAAGCGGGCAGTCTGGCCCACCCACCCACCCCTTCCCGATAATGGGGACGGGGAGATGGGGTTGCGCGCCCTCCCTCCCCAGGTCCCCGCCGGCTCTCCGGGCCTCTTCCGCAGCTGCGGCCCGCCCGGCAGACCTCCCCGCCGCCCCGAGTCCCCGGCCCGCGCCCCCGCTCACCTCGGCCGGCGCCCGCACTGGTGGCGGTGGAGTTCCCGCAGCCCATCGCGCTGCTGGCCCGGGAAGCAGCGCTCGGGAGCTGGCTGCCGCTGGTCCTGGGGGCGGACACGGAGGCGGAGGGCGGGGCGCCCCGAACCGGAGGCCGGTGGGGGCGCGCGGGGCCGGGGGCGGGGGGGCTGCGCGGGGCCTACCCCTTCCAGCAGCCGGGGGGTGTGGGCCAGGGCGCGGCGGCCGGGCGCGCACCGGGACGGAAACCGCCCGGCACCCTTCTTGCTAGCCGCGGTCGGGGTCCCCGCGGGACCCACCCGTCACCTCGGCAACCGCGGCGACGCCCAATCCCCGGCCTCCTTCGGGCTCTCCGGCCGGGCATTGGCCGTCGTGAAGAGGGGGCGGGAGTTTGAAGTGGGTTTGGGGGCGAGGGCGAGGCTGGGGGCGTGGCCGGCGCGGGCCTGGGGCGAGGCGGAGGTCTGGGGATACCCACCTACCCACCATCAGGTCTTCTTTGCCTTTTCTTCGCCGCTTCCCCTCCCTGCTTCAGGATGTGGGCAGGTGTGGAGGCGGCGGAAACACCTCTTTTGCATATGGGCGCCCAGTAAATGTTATCGAATGATATTCGGGTCTGAAGTCAACCCCAAAATCCGTTCCTTCTTTAACAGAAAGCTAATGCAGCTCTGTTCCCCGATACACTTTGCTAGGAAAGAGCATGAAGTCTTCCCTAGTTCGGTCATACTAGCCTACCCCACTTTAATTGCATTTGCTGCAATTTCAATAGCCTTCGGACCTTGGCTCATTTAGAGACGGAACTGTGAATTCACTTGGCACCTTTCAACCTAACACTTTGGCAGCTGTTACTGCGGTCAGACTCTCTGAGTTACAGCCCCTGCTCTGCCCCTAACAGTTGCGTGACCTCAGCAAAGTTCCTTAACCCGTTAGTGTGTCCGTTGTTTTACCTGCAAGATGGCAGTAATAATGTGTAAGCCTGATGATTCACAGATCTGTATCCCTGGGGCAAATAATACATTATATGTTCATAAAAATAATTAAAATTTTTTAAAATGGCAGTAATAACTCGGGCACATGGAAACACCTAACACAGTGCCTGATCCCAAATAAATGTTAGCTATTCTTGTTCTTAAGTCCTGTTAGAACTGAACATAATTCCCTGAAGGTGAGGACTATCTGATTTATCCTAGCGTCCTCCTGGCTCATAGTACAGACTCAGTAAGTGTTTTGTGAGATGAATTCAAGCCAGGAATTAAATCTCCATTTTAAATCCATTTAATATTTATAGAGAGCCTAGCCTGTGCCAAGTCCTTTGTTAAAATTAAGTTCCAGTGATACAAACATGTAGGAGCCAGTCTAACCAGGCAGACGGATTATAAACAAATCAATTACAGTATAGCAGGGATGCTAACAAAGGAATACAGGGTGCTCCAGGAGCCCAGAGGATGCTGGGATCCCAGTTAAAAGACTTTTCTAAAACAAAACAGTCGTATTTGGAGAAAACCTTGACTTGAACCGAGTCCCTGGTGAACTGTTGATCATGACCTTTGAGGCAATGGAGAGCACGGGGTAATCTCATTCAGGATACACCATCCCTCCTTTGAAAATTAGACATATCTGGGCATGTCCTGAGATAAGAATTAATTCTTGGGCAAATAAGGGTATTTCCGAGTTGACTTCTAGAAGCCCTGATTCTCTATCTTGGCCTCCACCATCTTTGCTCAGTGGCTCCCTTCTTACAAATCCAGAATTGGAGGTGGTTGGGGGGAGCAGGGGGAGTAAGAGAGGAGGACTATCAAGTAACCAAACAAAATACTCTTGCTTACTTCTGGGCTGACACTGGACTCCAGCCGTAGGAGACTTGGAGAAAAAGGAAAACAGACCCTGACATCCAGTCAGCAGCCTGACACCGTGAGGCCTTTGGGTTCATAGCTACATAGAAGACCAATCTCAGACAGGGGCACTCTCTAACTCTGAGGAAGAGAGACCAGAAATACTACCAGTTAGTAATCTTGTCTGATAAGACAAGCTCACTGGCAAACCACAGAGCATCACTCAATCCTGGCTAACTTGAATGATCTGCTTTTTTTTTTTTTTAAACCAGTTACAGTTTCATCCCAGGCTCCCTGCCTCATAGATGAAATTTATTAAGACTATCCCACCATAGAATTGTCCCTGCTTCCTGCCAACACCCAGTTCAGGAAAAAAAGATGTCCTGATTTCTTAAACCCCAACCATAACCACCTAACTTGAGCCCAAATCCTATAGAATCTTTTCTAACACCCCATGAATGAGATACCTCATGATTTCCTGTGGTGCACATTCCCTTTCACTGCAAAATTAATAAACCCAACTTGCCTAACTACTGGCATGTTCCTGGTGGTCTTTGGCCGGAGGACACTGACCCTCATAAATGACATGAACTCAGCTTTATAAGGTTATAGAGTGTGCTACCTATTCATTCTTTCAACAAACACCATTGAGTGTTTCCTTTGTGCTAACCACTTTTCTAAATGCTTGGAATGGAGCAGTGATCAAGGCACAGAGGCAAAATCTAGTGGGAGGAGACAGATCAAAATCAAACAAAAGATAAGAAAACAAAGCCTGGCACTGAAATAAGTGATGAGGGGTAGAGGGAGAAGTACTATTCTAGGTAGGAGCATCAAGGAAGATCTCCCTGAAGAATGGAAATTTTAGCTGAGGCGTAACTGTTGAGAAGAAATCAAACATCTGAAGGCTAAGCAAAGGGCATCCCAGGCCGAAGATACGGCAAGCGCAAGAGCCCTGGGGCAGGAACATGCTGAGTATGTTTCATAAACAGATAAAAAGGCCAGGATGGCAGGACTAGAGCAACGATGGAGAAGGGTAGTTGGGGAGATAAGCCAGATCACACTAGATATGATGGGCTTTGTGAGGAGTTAAAATTTTATTCAAAGGACAATGTGAAGTCATTTGATGAGACAATGTATGCAAAGTTCCTAACAAACTTCCTAGTAAGTGCCACATTAATGTCAGTCCTCTCCCTGTTGTGGAGTGAAAAAAAAAAAGAAGAAGAAGAAGAAGTCTAGCATCTCCTTTTTCCTTTTTAAGAATTTACTTTATTTTTATAAATAACAGCTAATTGCATTTGGGTGTTTTCAAAAACAATGAGTCAAAAGAAAATCATTAATGCATGTCTCATTTCCTGACTGGTCAGTTTTGGCTTCTATCTTGGTCCTAGTTAAATCACACCATTGAGCTGTTGTTTTCATTCTTCAGACAAGAACTGATGCGGTATGAGGGAGAGAGATGATATACATGACTGAAATTGATCTGGCAAGGAAAGGAAACCAAGACACAGGAGAACATGGAGCTAAATAAGTCTCAGCTTTCATGGTTTTTCTTCCATAAAGGGTTCCCCACAAAGTGTTTGGCAGCCTGAGTTTAATTTTTGTTTTTCTCCTTTTCCCTGTTGACATGCTGCAAGATGGCTGCCTCAGCTCTGGGTAGCTCATCCACACACAGCAGAACTCAGCAACAAAGGGGGATTTTTTCCCCCCTGCATTTTGGGTCCCTTTTTAAAGCTGAGAGGCACTGGGAACACTTCCTCTCCCATTTTTTTGGCCAGGATTTGGATCATGTGACTTTTCCTGATCCGGTCACTGGGAAGGTAAAGAGGAGAGCTGTAATTGGCGCTGGTAAGTTACAGTTCACCCCTGAGTCATGACAGGGAGGGTAGGAGAGACACCTGAACAAATTGGGGCTCTGCCCCAGGAGGAAAAGGAGGCAATTAATAGCTGTTTAACCAGGGCGCCTAGGTGGCTCAGTGGGTTAAGCCTCTGCCTTCGGCTCAGGTCATGATCTCGGGGTCCTGAGATCGAGTTCCGCATCGGGCTCCCTGCTCAGCAGGGAGCCTGCTTCCCTCTTTCTCTCTGCCTGCCTCTCTGTCTACTTGTGATCTTTCTCTGTCAAATAAATAAATAAAATCTTTTTAAAAAAATAGCTTTTTAACCATATAGTCATAGTCATAGTACATATGAGCCCTTTTGTACTAACTCTTATGAATTAGTTCTCTTCTGGATTAGGCTTCCTACCCCCTTGGAGATGGGCACAGACCTATGACTGGCTTTGGCCAATGAAAGGTGAACAAAAGTGAAATGATGACTCAGAGGCTCTGTGAGTTCCCATCTGCTGGCAGTTAGGAGATGGGCCTACAGGAGATTTGGTACGGGTACTTCCTGAAAGATCCAGGGGAGTGGGATCGGGAGTAGGCAGGGAAAGCCTTCAGGCTGCCTTGCAGGTCTGATACCCATGGGAGAAATAAGAAGAAGGATATATAAAGAGGACTGGGTAGGAAGAACTTCAGACTATAAAGCCTCTCTGAAAAAGTCTTGGCCAAGGCCAAACAGAACTTCAAATGTAGATTGCCTGTGGGATAGCCTCTTGTTGGGCAGACATGGCCCTAGTACCATGACTGGGCTGTGAGCTGCCCAGAGAGAGCCTGGCCTCAGCTGGAACACATCAACAGACCTAACGTGTCAGCAGTTGGGGGCTGTCAGCCAACTCCACTCCTCACAGCACATTCTCTCCAAGGGAGATCTAGCAGGTGCATCACCAACCCCTCCGCACCAAGAGAAGCTCTTGACTGAGAGTTCTAGATTCTCCAGTTTCCAGGATCCTGGAAGCACGTGTGGAAGAATTGCAGCTCCCATCAGCTTGGATCCCTAAGTCACAACCCTAAGTCACACCAAAGCATAAGGAAAAAAGGAAGTTTTGTTATGTTAAGCCACTTAGATGTTGTTGTGCTTAAGCACCAAGATGTGTCGTCCTAACATCATAACATACCATAACACCTCAACTCATTTTATGTTGGAGTCAGTTTCACAGTGGATCCTAACACAGAGGTGACAGCCACCTGTGTCTGCGACGACAGACATCTTTCATGTTCATTTAATTTCAAATGCCATAAAATTAACCACAGTATTTTCTCGGGGTGATTTTTATCTCTTTCATATCTGTGATTGTGTCCCCTTCTGCCTTCCTATACTGTTTATTTCCATATTTTCTTTCTTGTTTAGCTGTGCTATAGAGTTATCCATTTTATTGGAGTTTTGGAATCCATTTTTAATTTTTTGACCATCTTTTTGTTTTATGTTCTATTTGTTTATTTTCAGTCCTTA